CTGGAATATCTTGACTTTGAACTAATAAGACCAAGAGTCTTCTAAAACACAAGCATTTTGGTTCTCTTTTTCCTCAAGCATACACTGGAAGCAAGAAACCTCTGCAGGCATCCACTGATTTTACTCAGACACTGTGATCTCAAATGTAATATATTTTATTCATTTGCCAAAATTCTCTGCTCAACCTGACTCATAGTTCACGTATGCAGTATATAGACATCTAAGCAAGTCATGTGTAAAAGCACATTAACTCTCTACAGGAGAATGACATCAAACAGCCTTAGGAGTCAAAGTTGATGGTGCAAGGTAGGTCCTGGAGCACATAGCCTGTCTGACAGTGACTGATACACATAATTTAAAGCACTCATTAACTCCTGCATTGATATGGGCGGAGCAACGTAGCTGGGAAACATATCCTCCCAAACATACTCTGTTTACTTCTGTTTTAAAGCTAATTGATAAAAGCTTTTATTCCACTGTTTGACACTAGTTTATGCCATATTAGTCAGAACGTTGAGTTCACAGCTTTTGATTCATCTCAAAGCTCACAGGGTTTAACAGACTTCAGTAGTAAGCATAAACAATTTTTGTTCTTAAAACAAAGTATGACTTGCTCCTTGTTTGATGAATCACCAAACCCACTTGCTCTCCTTTATCCCTAACAATATGTTTTTCATGTTATACAAGATCTTTCTGCTAATCCACTTTTCAAGACAGCATCACACTCAGATGACAATCCCTTTCAGAAATTTAGTTTGTACGTAAGTGGAGTATCTATCACTGAATAACTACCACACAAACTTGAAGTGAACTTGGGGGTAATGCAGAATGCTTTTAGCAAGGCACTAGTCACCATATGCACAGAAATATTTCTATTTATGCTAATACTACACTAACATGATATATTATTAACTGTAATTAAAAAACACCCAAAAACCATTGGCCATATTAACTTCTAGTTAGCCAGTGTTTTAATAGTCAGGAAGCACCACAAATCCTGTTATAACACCTCTTTTCAAGTACTGATTCGTAGAATCACAGATGTTCGAAAGGATGTCATTCCTTTCTCAGTTTAGTCCAAACTCCTGTCCAAAAAGCAGGGTCAACACTGAATTCGAACCAGCCTGCTGAAGGCTTTGTCCGGGTTTCCAGGTCTTGAAAACCTCCAAGGACAGGGATTCCAGTGTCTCTGGTCAGCCAATGCTTAATCATCCTTCAAATTATTTTCTTCCCTTTATACTCAGTCTCCCCTCTAAAAACCTCTCCTGCTGCTTTTTATGACCTCCGTCTCCTGTGAACTTCTGTAAAAAGCCTGGCTTCAACTTCTCAGCTAAACAGATGAACAACTTGATAAGACTTTGGGTTCAGCTAAGCTACAACAGCTATGTCAAATCAGACCTGACACTTTCAAGCACTTTGATTTGCTAGGTACACAACAGAATTATATACTTCACATGTGATACTGAAGTGTTAAGGAGACCAAACAACATCTAAGTTAAGGATTAACAAGCATTGCAAAGCCAGCAATCTCCCTGACAACCTTAATTTAGTCTATTTCCCCTAGTATAACAAGCATACTTTTAAACAAGCAAAACAAGCACATTGCCAAACCCAGTTAAGAAAGTAACTGCTCATTGCCATCTCATGCCAGCCTATTCTCAGGGCTGGCATGAGATCAGATGATTGTTTGCCAAAACAATTAAATTTTTTTCTGCCCATTTCATTGTAAACAAAAATAATGACAAAAACACCAGGCACTCATTCCCACCTCCAGTCCTTGTGCCAGCAAAAAATGAGGGGAAAAAAATTAAATCAGAGCTTTCACAGCTGTGATGTGTCAAAGTGCTCACAAGACATTAAATTAAAAAAAATACTCCCATTTACACACTAGTAGTACAAAAACTGCAACTAAAGTCTCAATGTACAGTTCTGTCACATTCAACAAATTATATGAAACTTGAATGACTCTCAAACTGACCTAAAGCAGAAAAGAATTTAATTAGTTCTCATATAGCTTCAATTATTTGTGTGCTTACATATGCATCAATTATCTCACAGAAAAATACTTTAAACCATCATTTTCTTTTCTAGCATAGATCCTCTCTTGATAGCCTAGTCTTACTTCCTGTCAATCAGGAATAAATGTCATTGATCAGGCTTCAGTCCTTACAAAAAAAAAAAAAAAAAAAGAAAAAACCACCAAACCACTATGCTTCTGCAGGCCAAGCACCATTGCCCACCTTTTACTTTCAGACAGACAGCATGGGGAAACAAAAAACTTCTACCTTCTTGTAGAGCCTCCCTTCCCCCAAAATAGTGACTTCAGCTTTCCCAGCTCCCTGTCATCTAGAGTCATTTTTAGTCTATCATATAAAAATCATTCCCCTAGACTTCTTCCCAATGACTTGCCTAATTTCAGCTGCTATGCCAGAAGCTAAAAATAAATCCTCTGTTATATGTAGTTGCATACCCTCGCCCACTAAGCCCTTGTTCAGCACTCCACTTGACATGTGAAATAAGTTCTGGAAAAGACACACTCGCTCCTCTCAGCACACTGTAAAGTTCCTTGAATTATACACAACAAACTGACAGAGTGCAGGTTGATTCATCTGTATAACTCTACTGAAACTTGATGAATTGTAAGTTACGAAGCTGAACCAAGAAAATCTCCAGACCACACCCTGAGAAACTTTGTATACAGACTCTGTGACAACTTAACACTGGCACAAATAGTGTGGCTTCTCTTACAGAAGTCCCAAACATACCTTCATCTTATTTGCACAGTGAAGAGAACAGGGATGAGGTACAAGTAAAGTTGCTCTCTGAGTCCCTAAAGGTACTGCTAGCCTCAGTAGAGCCAATTCCTCATTCAAAATTCAAGCCAGCAAAATTTAGTAAGATCATTCTCCTATACAATGAATGAAGCCTTTCCCTGTTTACAGTCTTGTTCTTCCCTCACAAACCCATGGCAGTAATTGATAAATCTGGATGCCCACTCATACCACCTCAACTTAAAACACACCTGAATACCATCCCTTTTCTTCCTTAGAGGTAAATTCCTCTTGATGTCAGTTTTATACACCATTTGTGTACATCATGTCCAGAATGCCTACTTTCCCATTCAACCCATTCACTCAATTATACCATCAGAGGCTAGTTACTTTATCTCAGGGTAAAACTATCTTTCAGAAGGTAACTGATTCAAGCAACATACCACTACTGTGATTACTGTTGCTGCTGGACTGTACTCATCCCCTCAAGAAACAAAAGCATATGACTGCATATGAAGTCAAATATTAACATAATCTACTTTTTCCATAAAATGTAACAATAAAAGTCTACTCTAGTGATTCTAGAATAACTGAAAAGAACATGCAATGGAAATAGTTGTCCTGTTCAACCCAATTTTGAGCTCATTTCACTATGATTTTTCAAATTATCTATTTCTTTCAGAACAAAGTCTTCTCCTCTGCTAGAGCAAAATTCAAATTTGTACCCACAGCTTCCAATAGAAGCACTGTCCTGTGTGATTTTTAAATCACTTCCCTGCAGGCATCTTCAAGCAGCCTTCCTAGCTACTTCAGCTAAGAAATAGTACAGGTAGTATAAACATAAACAAACATCTTGTTTACATGAAGAAGTTTATTTATATTTATCCCGAGCAAGGAAGTACAAGTTTGTTTCCAACAACACCATAAAACAAAATAAGACATCATATTTGGTTACCTTTTGCTAAGATATACATGGTCACTTAATACAAGCACACTTCAAGTTACTCAGTATTCTGGTTTTCTGTCATCCTTCTAAATAATTGTAACTTTCAGTAACTTTTCAATGCCTCATATGTTATAAATTTAACATCTTCCCCAGATGTATTCTAACTTAGTTTTCAGTGAACAAAAAAACCCCCACAGTTCCCAGGTTGATCAGCCAAAGGCTCTACTGCACTCTAATTGACAAAAGGAACACAAGGTGGGAGCGCTTATATATTGCCTTAGTTTTACTACTACCTGGGAAAATCCTTGCACAGATTAAGTAAAGTTTATAACTAGCACTCTATTCAATAAGAAGAGTCAGGTAAGTTTTAAGTGTCGGCTACACTGCTGCTCTTGAAAATCCATCAGAAAACAGAGCTAAAAAGAGCTGATTCAAAGTTAAAACAAGTAAGTGTAACAGATGTAAACAATTAAAAGGAAACACTGTCATATTAACTGGTTTTGCTGCTACTGCATTTACAAAGGGAGATGCAATCCAGTGCTGTTGGCTTTGAAATGTACCTATATTGCAAGTTATCAGGTCTGTAAACAGAAATATCTTCTTTTAAATCAAAAGGCATAGGCATAATGAACAAAGTCCACAGTCCTAAAGAGGATTTGTGTGCTCAAAAGCTTGCCAGATCTTTCCAAAAAGACTGGACAACATCCAAACTTTAAAGTTATTTCCACATTAAGTCAGTTCACTCGGGAAGCACATCGTTTGCACCCTAATCACCCATGTTCTGGATGCTTCAACACAGACAGAAAAAAAAACCCAAAAACAAATAACCCTGTGATCTTTCACTCAAAAGGTGAGCTGAACGGAGGTTACACCAACAGGCCCTGCTAAAAGAACAGCGTTGGAAGGGCACCCCTCCCCAGGGGGACGGCCCCCCCGCATCACCCCCCTCACGGAAAACAGGGGAGTCCCCGGCTCCTGTCAGCGACCACCCCCGGCGCGTTACCACAGCGAGGCCCTCAGCGCGCCGCACGCCCCCCTCCAGCTGCCACCTCCCTCTTCCAAAGAGCACCCAAAAACCGTCACGGAAACTCACAAGATTTTTTTTTTTTTTTTTTTTTAAAGAGACTTTAATTCCCTCAGGCCCGGCCGCACGCCCCTCCGCCCCAGATCCTCTCCTGGGGAAGCAACAGGGCGGCATCCGAGCCTCCTCCTCCTCCTCCCCCGCCTTCCTCCCCGTCCCCAGGCCGTCCCCTGCCCCCCTCCCAGCCCCACAGCTCGCTCACCAGCTTGGGCTTGTTCCGGCTCTCCTCTTCCGCGGCGCGCCCACTCCGCTTCGGGTTCATCCTGCCAGAGCTCAGGGGCTCCTCGCCGCCGCCGCCAGCGCCCGGAGCCGCCTGACCCTCCATCCTCCCCCCCCCCAGGCTCTGCGCCCCAGCAAAGAAACGCGCTCTCTCACCGGGGGCTGTACGCTCAGGGCCCCATAGGACCGACACGCACCACCGGGCGTCTCCCCGTCCCCTCCCCGCCGCAGACCGGAGCCGGAGCAGCTCCCGGTCCTGCCACCGCCCCGCCGCCTCCTCCCAATCCACCGCCTCAGAGACGCCGAACGCCTCCACGCATGCGCGCCGGCCGGCCGGCCTCACCGCGCCTGTGCCGGGGCGGTGCGCGTGCGCCGCTGAGGAGAGCGGGGGCGGCGGGGACACCGCCCCGAGGGCGGGAGCTGAGGGAGCTCGGTGGTGGCCGTGTGGGGAAATGGCGGAGCTCGGGGGTTTTGAGCAGAAGCGCCCGCTAGAAAAGCGAACCGTGAAACGGAACTGAACGGTCTTGCTTTTGGCAGCACGGAGCCGGCGTGTAAGTGGATTTGTCGCCAGGGCTCCCGGCTGAGTCGTTCCTCAGGTGGCTGGGAGGAGGGAAGGCCGAGACTGGTGCTGCCTGGCCGTCTCCTTTCAGAGGGAGTTTGACTGCTCCGTGGGCCGGCAGGGAGCTGAGGCGGCCGGAGCCGGCTGTGGGAGTACGGGCTTTCGAGAAGAGCCTTGTCTCCTTCTCCTCTTCTTCACGTAGAGCTGCTGGGCCCCTGTGAGGAGTGCCGGGGCACTTCACACACGGAGGGTTTCCTGGTGAGGTGGCTCTGCCTTAAGTGTGTTTCCCTGTATTTTATTTTGGAAACACACGACAAGCAAGGGATAACTGTTGTGTTTTTACTAAAATTGAACTATTGTTATCCCAAACAAAAGACTTAATTTTTTCTCTCTCGGATTTGAGAACTCCATTCCCCGATATCTGACTCGTCTACACGTGCTCATGGTTGACGAAAAATTGCTTAAACCGTTTCTGTGGATTAGAGTATCCCTTTGGCTGAGCCTCACTGCAAACTGAAGGTCTGTCAGTGTGGATGTATTGGTGTGGATAGTAGAAACAAGGATCACATGTCTGATTATTAGAGGGCTCATGTTGACAGATGTCTTTGTATTAATATAATCGTTACTTTAAAAAGAAAAATACACATTTTTGTGTTAGTATAGGTGAATCTATGCTTGTTAAGTTATACTGAGAAAACAGTCGTGAAAACAATCATGATCTGTTGTTTTGCTGGGACAAGGGTAATCCACAATCTTTGGAGTCCAAATTTAGATACAAATGTAATTACTTGATTGCCCTCTAGAAAAGGGTCCCACAGTGGGTTTGTTCTTTTAAAAAGGCAAGTGAGATCAGTACAGTGAATTTTCCCCATCTTTGTGTAATACACACATAGTTAAAGCATGCCTGAGATTCTTGTAGCTGTCTGCATTTCTTGTGACTCCCTGAGGCTTTCCAGAGTACTGGATGAAATAATATTTTTTTTTAAAAATCCCAACAGTGAAAACTTGTTGATAAAATCTGACAATACCAGCTTTCAAATAAAATGACAGCTCTAAAACTTGCAGGAGTCTTAAAATCAGAGTAGAATCTTTGCAGCAGAAGTTAGTAGGTTATAAAAAAGTCCAGCTCCGTCAAGCTGCTCAGTTCTAAACTTTCCTTCGGCTTGCACCTCTTCTTTTTAGTACAAGTATTCCTTTTATTTAATCTTGCTGATTTTAACAGTGAGTATTTGGGCACAGTTTATGCTATCTTAACCACACATAACTTCAGAATTATGAAATTAACAAAATAATCATTAATTTAATCACTTGTTTGCAGTGACAAGCAATGTAACATTATTTCGAACTACATCAGTTTATAATTTACAGTGCATCATTCTACAGCAACAGTTTAACAACAATTTGCCAGTTTCAGTTAAAAAGAAATGCTCAGATCTCTTTTTTTCTTCTCTTCAGTTAGCCCTAATGGCCCTTTTGTTCTTCTGTGCTGTCTTTATTAGTCTGTATTAAGCAGCACCCATAACTGGAGCAGAAAGGTCAGTCATTCCAGAGTCAGAGAAAATAATTTCCAACCGCCTGACATCTCTGTGCACAAATTTAAGGGTTTTTAATCCAAACTCTGTAGCACTATTTGTTCAGCATAACTCTTAAGTGCTCAAGAGCTTTTTTTTTACCCAAATTTTCTGAATTTGCCACAGTACTACTTATACTGCTTTAGCCAAGTCTTCTTCAGTAAAACTTTTACATTGGACTGACCTGTAAGCTTCAAGAGCAGCAGGCAGAACATTACAAAAATACATTACAGTGTGAGTGAAAACAACCGCACATGGCAGAACTCAAGAAAATTGAGGAAATGTATGTTCAGGCATTGAGTTAATTTAGTTTTTGATGGAATAAAACTCAAATCACATTCACGATCTTAGGCAAAACAGGAAAAGAAGTACTAAAGTCAGGTTAGGGAATATGCACCTTACATTGAAAAGAAAACACAAAACATTTACTATTTTCAGTGCCGGTATGCAATAATAACTGTACCCTTGTCTAAGGGATGGAGAAAAGATATGCAACCGTCAGGCTATAGCTACATCATATGATGAAATAGCTACCCCACAAGTATTCTTAGTTCCTCTTTTCCTCCTGCTGTTTGCCTGCTCTCCTGGGACAAATGGCTGGTTGGTTAGCACAGTTATTGTCACTTTTTTTTAACTCCAACTTACAAAAATTTTGCAAGTCTCCACACAGAGTGCTCAGCTCTGACATAAAATAGTTGAGTTGTACAGAACATTGCTACGGGATTTTCTGGAGACCTGCTTTTGTATGTATTACTATAAATCAAACATCATTAGATCTACTTCACAGCCTCCTTAGCAGAAGTTAAAGCCTGCCATGGGTTTTTTGAAAATTTTTTAGTCATACTCCAGCATTTTAGTATTCTTTTTTTTTTTCCCCCCAGTTTCCAGGACTGAGGAAAAAAATATTCCATGTATGAACCAAGGACCTATGCGCATATAAACTCTGCAGGCATTTCTAAGCAAAAGGAGGGAGGTGAAATAATGCAACTATCCCAATTAGGAAAATTTAAATGGAAAAGCCCCTCCACATCAAAACAAAAAAGAAAACAGAAAACCACAACTCTGCTTAAGGCAACCAGACAAACCTCAGATCGTCTTGGCAGTCAGTTTGCAATGCAGTATTTTGGCCCGTCTCCGAGAGCAACATAGTATGGCCTGAGGGTGGAAACTAGTAGTTGTACAAACTGTTCTTAACTTGGCTTCATCTTTGAAGAAAATGTATTTTAAAGCTATGCATTTTACAAAAATCACTTCACAACATGGAAAACATGTAACTACAACAGGCCACTTCTATGTAGATGCTAACATTTCACCTTGTGGTTTCATGTGTAATCAGAGTCGCATTCAGTCACATAACCGCAACAGCTAACAGTGACAGAAAACTGCATATGTGCATCTGTAAAAAAAAATCTTACAGCAAAATGATCATAGACTGATAGGCATGTGATATTTTGAGCTTCCCCAAAACATGTACTATTTTATATCTGAATTTGAATGAAATAATAGGCTTTTGAAGAAGACTGGCTGACACAGCAGTATAAGAACTTATTGCTCTAGCACCCTCCCTCTAAACATGTAAAAAATACAATCATGCAAGGTTCCAGAAGACGCACACTCCAAGTATATCTGAAAAAGAAAAGGGTTCTGGGTTTATGAGATTTTATAAATTCAGTGATAGAATTTCCATTTAGCTGAGAAGGCATAGGCTTCTGCTTAATAGTAGCAGTTCTAAAACAGCAGTAGTCAACTGGTCACCAAACCAACTATTCAGATTTAAGTCCTTGAGAAATGTTCTATTCTTCGGGTTTCTAGTATTGAAGAAGAAAGTTAATAACGTTGAAGTCTTTGTTCTAACTGCACTGGGGGAAAGAAAAAAAAAAAAGGAATTGTTCTGTATACTACCATGAGAGAAAACAGTATTTAACTTAACCACAAACAGGAAGCATGCTGCTAAGTCACCCAGTAGTACATTCCCCAGCTTTTCATCCAAAAATTCTGTATCATTAGCACAACCGCTCTACACAGAAAACATACCACAATCCTTCCATTACTCCTGTTGAGCTGTAAACTTCCTTCAAATTGTTTTGTCTCTCTTCCCAATCAGTATCATCACCTCAGCCAGTTTTTACTTTCCTGCCTCTCTTCCCTTTTTGCAGTTTTAGTTGGAATCTATTTACATTTAGGAATTTTAAAAATCCCAAAATTTCTCTTCAGAAGGAAGTCAGTCTAAGATTTTTTGCAGTGCATGAGAATGTGGTAAATAATAAGAAGAAAATCACAGGGTATATAGTTTATCTTAACAGGTAGGAAAATAGGATTAGAAGTATTAACTACTAAGCAATGAAAATCAATGAAGGGCATTATTTGCATGTGAATAGATACTCCCCATTGACAAAATAACCTCATTTTCTAAAAAATACTCTCTTTGACTACTTAATAAATATGATTTATTCGCAAACCTAAATCCAGAGAAAATCCACTCACTGATAAGATAATGCCAAGAAATACTTGTTTGCTAAAGCTTTGTTTAATCTAAAGCAGTAATTTCCTGGTCTGTTAGAGGCAAAAATTGTGCATTCTGTAGTGTTTCTGTAAATTAAGTCACAAGAAGTTACTATCATATTTATACAAAATTTGTTAGTGATTTGAAGGTACATTAAAACATTCTATATTAACCATTAAAACAAAGTGACATTTCACGTTACAATCATGAACAGTATCACAAATGATAATTAAAAGCACAGCTAATTCTGAACATTTCTATAGATGGATAAGGATTACAGCTTCAGCAAGGTTAATTTTCTATGGCTACAGCTACATTTTGGTTTTAACCAGTAATGAGGTGGCTGCACAACAGTTCACTTATTAGGCTATAAACTTTTCAATTTTAAGTCAACTTACACATTGTTGTACTTATTTATAGGAAGAGGAAGCTGACAGCTATCCACCTATTGTTTAAAATAAGTGTTCATGTTGCATATGTTAGTGAGGTAATTATCTCTGTTGTCACAGCAGACCTATAGTTCAACTTTACTTACTATGTCTAGCTCTAATTTAAAACCTAAAGCACTGGTGCTAGATGAGGTATATAATTATTAAATGATACATTAAAATACGGGGGTCTACTTGTGTCAAGGCACTTTCTTCATTAAAG